CTTGGTAAAGTAGTCTACAGCGATGATGAGGTATTTCCTGCCCCTGTTGCCTGAGGAAAGGGGCCGATGAGGTCCATCCCCTATTTGGCGAAGGGCCAGGGGCTGTTGAGAGCCGAGAGGGTTGTGGCCGATTGATGGCATAAGTTGGCATGTCTCTGGCATTGGTCACACTTCCATACCAGCTCAGTTGTGTCTTTGTGGAGGGTCGGCCAGAAGTACCCCTACCTTAGTGTTTTTTGGGGTAGGGCTCAGCCGCCAAGGTGGTTACCGCAGATGCCTTCGTGAATTTCTCGGAGCACGTACTCGCCCTCCTCCTGAAGAAGGAATCGGAGGTAAGGTTAGGTGAAGGATCTTCTATACAACTTTCCTTCCATCAGGGTCTAGTGGGCTACCTGACGTCGAATTCTCCTAGCTTCATTCCTATCGTCAGGCAGTCGTTCTATCAGTAGGAAGTYGATGATGGGGTGCATCCATTATGATTCGGCCTCTACTGGAAGTACTTGGGCTTCTTCTATAGAGGGTCAAGGTACCTTCTCCACGTGGATAGTGCGGCTGAGGGCTACATCCGAGGTGCTGGCCAACTTAGAAAGGGCGTCGACTCTTGTGTTCTCAGCTCGCGGGACTTGTTGCAAGGAGAAGTGCTGGAAGTGGCAGGATAGCTCTTGAACTTTGGCGAGGTACTTGGACATGCTCTGTTCTCTGGTCTTGTACTCACCGTTGACTTGGTTCACCACCAGTTGTGAGTCGCTAAAGGCTTCGATGTGTAGGGAGCCAAGGTCCCTAGCAAGCTGCAATCTAGCGAGGAGGGCCTTGTACTCGGCTTCGTTGTTGTATGCCAGGAAGTCGAACCTTAATGCATACTCTATGGCTGCATTGTCTGGGGTGAGAAGAATGAGACCCGCTCCGCTTCCTTTGGCATTGGATGAACCATCAACAAAGAGTTTGGGGTGAGCCTCCTCGGTCGGGCGGTCCCCTTCAGCATCTTCGGGGCCTAAGTGAAGGGCTCAGTTGAAGGTGCATTCTGCTATGAAGTCTTCTAGGGTTTGTGCTTTGATGGCGGGCCTCAGCTAGACTTGTTCATGGGTCGGGCCGGGCCGAGCTTTCACTCTATATTAACAAATTTTTCTAAGGCCCGAGCCCGAGCTCGGCCCAACCATTGGGCCTACAACTTGGGCCTGAGCCCGGCCCTCATAAAAAGCCCATAGCCCAGGCCTGGGCCCGAGCCCGAAATTTAACCCATGTTGTTACTACTACTGAAGTGGCTGAATAGAGAGAGAGAGAGAGAGAAATTATAAAGAAAAAATAAAAATGTATATATTAAATTATAAATATATATATTTTAATAAATATTATATATTTATATATTTTATATAATATATATAATACACATTATGTATTTTATAAAATATATAATGCTGAATCGGGTCGGGCCGGGCTCGAGTTGTGTTTTTTTGACAAATCCCGAGCCCGGCCCGAAACATAGTCGGGCTTATTGTGTTAGGCCCGAGGTCAGGCCCGCGGGCCTAATTACCTGACCAACCCCGACTGGGGTGCGGGCCGAGCCGGGCCGGACCATCGGGCTACCCGGCCCATGAACAGGTCTAGCCTCAGCTGGTACTGTATGTCAAATTCAGACAGCTCGATGGCCTACTTGGTCAAGCGCCCCGAGGTCTCAAGCTTGGTGAGGACAGCCCTAAGGGCCTGGTTCGTCAGGACTGCTATAGTGTTAGCTTGAAAATACGGCCTGAGCTTTCTAGCCGAGACTATGAGGGCAAAGGCTAGTTTCTCCACCTTGAGATATCTGGTTTCGACGTTGTAGAGGRCCTTGCTGATGTAGTATATCGGCTTCTGCGTTTTGTCTTCTTTTATTAGAATTGAGCTGACTGCCTCGTCCTCGACTGATAGGTATAGATATGGGGTTTCTCCTGGAGCTGGCCGAGCGAGGAGGGGAGGTGACGCGAGGTAGACCTTTAGCTCATCAAAGGCGCACTAGCATTCCTCTATCCACTAAAARTCCTTCAACTTTTTGTTGGCGTGGAAGAAGGGAAGGCAGCGGTCAACCGACTACGACATGAAGTGGTTGAGAGCATCTATTTGGCCAGTGAGTCTCTAAGTCTTCTTTACTGTCCAGTATGGCCTGTATCTTGTCCGGTTAGCCCCAATGCCTCTTTGTGTGACGACGAAACCCAAAAATTTGCCCGAGGTGACGCCGAAGGCACACTTGCTGGGGTTGAGTTTCATGTTGAACCTGYGCAAGGTGTCGAAGGTCTCGGCCAGGTCCGAGGTGTGTGGTTCGGCTTTCAAGCTCTTCACCACCATATCGTTTACATAGGGTTCAACGTTCCTCCCCATCTGATTTTTGAACACCTTGTTGATGAGGCGTTGGTAGGTGGCCCCTGCATTCTTGAGGCTGAAGGGCATCACTTTGTAGCAGTAAGTGTCGTGCTCGGTGATGAACGAGGTCTTCTCCTCATCTTCAAGGTGCATCTTGATTTGATTGTATCCAGAGAAGGCATCCATGAAACTAAGTAGTTTGTACCCTGTAGTGGTGTCGACGAGGTGGTCTATCATCGGCAAAGGAAAACTGTCCTTAGGGCACGCTCGATTAAGGTCTGTGAAATCAATACAGATTCGCCATTTCCCATTAGCTTTCTTTACCAAAACCACATTCGACAGCTAGTTAGGGTAGTATAATTCTCGGATGAAGCCAACGTCAAGTAGCTTGCCAACTTCCTCTCCTATGGCCTTCTAACGCTCTGGTGCAAAATTCCTCTTTTTTTGCCGAACTTGCCTAGAGCTTGGGTCCATACTCAGCCTGTAAGTAATGACCAAAGGGTCAATTTCGGGCATTTCAATGGTGGACCAAGCAAAGACGTCGGCATTAGTTTTGAGAAAACTTACCAGTTCAGATAAGCTCTCTAGGGGAAGGTTGGACCCGACACAGACTGTCTTCTAGGGCTTGGCCTCATCTAGGGGAACGGAAATGAGGTCCTCGGCTGGTTGGCCTCGTCTCGCTGGTTCCTCCCTAAGGTCAAAGCCCTCTAATGGCAATGCTTCCTTGTTCTTGCCCTTTAGTGCTGSTTGCTGCCACATGCATAGAGCTTTGTCAACCTTCATTGATGACATTAAAAGTGTTAAACAAAAAATAGTGCTCTAATACTAGTATTGTTGCACAAAACCCATAAATGCATATTCAAATGACACCCACAAACAAAAGAAAAACATAGATAAAGAGAAATAAGCAGAGAGGACATACAATTTTACATAGTTTGGCTCATGGCCTACGTTCACGGGTGAAGGAGGAGCAGAAATCCACTATGAAATCAACAATGGAGAAGAATGCAGAGTTGTGCTCACACAACCTCACTCATAGAAAATCCTAAACCCCAAATACACCCAAAGTCTCTCAACTTCTCTCATAAGACAAAGACCAAAGTATACAAGAGAGAAAACCCCAAAATACACAACTCTTTGTACTCAATTCAAACCCATAAGGTAAATATGGATACGTTTCCACCACAAACCACTATGAAATTTTGCCTTTGGGTTTTTCTCAACTTAATTTAGAGTAGATTCATGAAGTGGATCACAACAAAGAATTCAAGAAACAACCATAACAGCCTTACCTATATGAGGTGGGACTCTTCTGACTTGTTGTTGTTGTTGTTGCCACCACTCTTGCTGTTGTTTTTTATGTTACAAACATTTGTGGTTACTACTTGTCTCGGATTCAACTACCGGAACTTCTTCATATCACTGTCTCCACATTGAGATTGACTAAAGGATAAACATATACAATTTTGTTTTCTTATGAGCAACTTCATTGAAATATATGCTTTTCTTCTTTTTATTCTCTGATGACCTAATCTCATTTTTCTTTGTCAATGTCTCCTTGCTCTTCATTACCATGGCTAGCTTATATTGGTTTTACTTCTGTATCTTATGTTGCTTATTCCTTGGACATAAGGTCTATCAGACTTAATGTAGCAGAGGGAAGTCGATTCACTTGGGAACCAAATCTTACTTGATATGCAACAGCAGCACTTTTTATCAATAGCAAAAACATTAAGTTTCATCAATGAGACCATATCTAGTAGGCATACCGCATACCCTTGTGAGCATGCTGAGCAACCACTCAATAAATACTCTGATGACATCTGTTGTAGAAATTTGCTTTGAATCGTTTCAAGGGTAGGCTGGGGATATCCATGAGATAGGTATCTGCCTGATCGGATCAGGCTGATCGGGGCTCTTTATCAATCAAATGAATGTGTACGAGTACAATGACTGCATAGCGTGCCTCTAAATCCCTAAGGTAGAATAAAGAGAGAGCATAAACAGATTTTACTGTTAAACTATCTTTCAATTTAGAGAGTTACATTGCATTTGCTCTACCCCCTCTTGTATACACCATTAGAAATCTTCCATGATCGTCACTCCTTGACAAGCTAGATTAGTGAAATTGAACCTTTTTCCCATCAGTGGGTTTCATTTCTTTTTATCATTTCGTTCGGTGACTGACTAATTTTCTGTCTACAAGCATTTGTATGCAGTGGTCTTTTCATATTCTCCTTATGCCCATGAAGTGCATGAATATCTTTTCTCAAGTGCCAAAAGACCAATATCTGACATATTCTTTTCAATTTATAGGTGTTAACCAAGTTAAATTTGAATTGGAATTTTGTTCTACCATATAATTTATCAAAACCATGCTAAAGCCATGTTTAATAACTTAAAATCAACTTTGTAAGTGGTAACTTYAATTTCCAATTTCAGATTCCCAGGTCAGTGAAAGCTTACCAATCTTGTAAACATGCATTCTGGGATGAATGGATTGGTCCCATTTGCTATGAATCGATGGCTCAGAATAGCACAAGAGATTATACAGCTGATCAGCAAGATTTTCAACATTTTATTGCAAAATATAAGATTTATTGGAGTTAATCTTCTAATGTATGAGCCATTGAATTGTAGTTTGTAAAGCAACTGCAAAAAAAGAATTGAAAAACTGACCACATAATATTAATACATCAAATTATTTACATTTGACCTATTACAAGGCAACCCATGCATAAAATGTTTCTTTTACAGTAGGTTCATCTAAGGAGAAATATACATCATAACATAATCAAACCCACCTCGACTAAAGAATGCTATAGTGGAAGCAAATCCTGAACAAATAGAATTTTGTTCCAGATGCCTATCTGCAGAGACATAATTATGCAGAACAAACCTGAACACTTCATTACTTTTCCTTGAGCAGAATTCTAGAGGCCCTTCCAGGTGGCAAGAATCTCATCAAAGATCTCAGCAACCAGATCCCTATTGGCACATTGTAAGAAGGCATTAAAATGATCTCGAATATCAAATATCTTACCAAATTCCACAAGATACCTCATGTAACTGCTCTTTAGCCTTGGCAATTGATAAAGATGTGAATTCTGTAATCTCTCAAGCACATTTTTAGTGTCAATATCTTCTAGAAGGTTTTCATGGCATGCCTCTTTCAGGTCAGAGATGTCATACTTGTCAGCTATTTGAAAAAGTGCAAGCCTGTGAGTCAGAAACTCGTCCCAGTGGATGTTTCCATATATGTAGTTGAGGAATGCCTGACAAGATTCAATTGACATATCTGTGATGTTTATAGTTGATAGATCCTTCTCTTTGAGATCACGTGAGAACATACTCCAAAAGACAGGTGATCTTGTTGCCAGCACAGCACGGTGGGCTCCAATGCTCCCATTGGAGGCATTGATTGTAATGTTTGTATGGATACTTTCAGATAACATTCTGCTGAGGCATGAAAGGGCTGTTGAACTAGATTGTCTCTGACTGTATCCTTCAGCCCATATGGAGCAAGGTTCACTATCCTGTATATTACATGACAAATTGTAACTGGGTTTCAAAGAAAGCTGTGAAAGGAATGCAGGGGCAAAGGGCATACTCGAGTAACAAAACATTCATAGGTTAAAAATATCTCATGTTACACTATGATATAGTATTGAAACTCATTAACTAAAGAAAAATCTCATGGCAATGTAAAAGATGCATAGAGTGCATGATGCCATTAACTGGGTTGAACCAAGACTTTATTAGGTTGTAGTTCATCTAAACTATCAACTTAAATCTAGTAATGCTATAATTTTTTCAGGCTTTCTGCAAGGCTATGATACATTAAATGGTTATAATCCTCCTTCCATATTGCAGTCTGTATGACCAAGACATTAAGATTTCCTCCTAAATAGGGTTTTTGAGCACTCTGAAACAGAAATCAATTGGAATAAATGGCACCATGGAAAAAGATAGGAGTGACGGAATCATACGTTTGGCGACGATATCTTCAAATCTAGGAACTCAACATTGATAATGAACTTCCCAGTTAATGGAGTTTCAATCACCCAAATGAAATCATCGTTATTCTTTAGTTGCTTGTTTGTTATTCCTGCATCCCAAGGAACATGCAATAAGCAAGAAAAGATTTAAGCTCAAAAAGGAAATTGAGAATTTGAGATACATCTGCGTGAACATTCCAAGTGTAGTTTTTCCTGAATTTATGGACATGTTAAAGCATTTGGAAACCGGGATTGGGTGGTTGAATAGCTGACTGAAAGCTCAAGTTCTCTCTGAGTTCTGATTAAGTGTTGATCTATTAAATCATGGATCAACCATGTCCAGTCTTCAAAAATTGTTTTGCTTAGGTCAGACGGATAAAAAATCATTGCCATTAGCAGTTAGCACCACCCAGATTTACTATGTGGTGAGCCACTATGCAGTATTATGTATCCTTTATACAGGTAGAAAAGTTGGACACTAAGCTTACCTGGGTGAATCAGCGCTTTTCGATCTCCAACAGAACAGAGGACCTGAATAATGAAGGACGCAATTGGGGGGTTATCTCTCGTCAGATTTGGGTATAGCTTAATGAACAACACCTGATTCTTCTCCACTGATAAATGCCTTCAAGTCCAGAAAATTAAAAGAAGTATTTAGACTCTAATTCGATCACATTCAGCAAAAAGTATGTTTATCCTTCTTTACCTTAGGACACATAATTCGACGAAATAATATCAAGAACAAAAACAAAGAAGGAACAGAAATGTAATTTCCTTTTTTTCTTCTTTACTAGAGATTGAAGAAATGAAGAGCCAAGAGTGGAGTAAAGCTTCGTAATTAAACCTACTGAACTATGACGCCGGAAAATGAAAAATCTTCATATATTAAATTCCAGAAGACAATGCTTGGCAAGTGGTTGGTTACTAACCAATTCCAGTTGCCGATCTTGAAAGGATCGGACTTTCTGTAGGTACAAGAGGCCAAGTTGTCGATCCTCCATTGGGCCAGACGGGACGTGGTTTCGACTCTGTAAGCGGAATCGCTCATCCTAGCGAAGGCGAGTGCAGTAGTGATCTCATGGATGCAACCGAATAAGCGGTAGAAGAATTCGCCTGGCTTTCCCAGGTTTGCTACCAAAGAGACAACTCCTCATAAACATGGAAAAAAAATTCCAACACCAACTGATCTCGGCACTCTTTTCTCCCGAGCTCTGCACTCGGAGTGTGAGATATCCTAAAAAATTCTTTCTCTTTCTGACAATGTGAAAGTCCCGGACACGCAAGGATTTTGAGCTTGCTTTACGCCATTGAAGGAGAAAGTTGCAGAGACTCGGTAACGGGCAGATAGAGGAGCTCTTTATTTCCTGCAATTATATGGTTTTGGTAGGCTGGTAGCGGAGAAGAAAAATAAGAGTGGTTTGCGTGGATTTCCATTGTTTAACATGGTTTTCCTTTTCCCATTTTGTCCCTCCTTGTGTTTAACGAAGTAAATAATGATACTTTGAAGTAAAGAATGCTTCTTATTAAGTTCCAACCAACGATCCGAAGCTATCCTAAATGGAGTGAGCATGCATCAATACGGTTCGTTCTATCGTAAAACCAGCAACCTATCTTGTAGGGGCCGATTTTAGGTTTTTGGAGCTGTAGATTGGTTTTAGGGTGTCCAAACTGTTCTTTTTTTTACTCGATGACATGTTCTTTTGATTTTCAATAAATATAATATATAGTTTAAAATTTATATTATCTTTATTCATTAAATTGAATAATTTAATATGTAGATTATCATAATATTGATATATGGCTTAAAYCTTATCATTATAATTTAAATTTTCTAAATATTATCTTTTATATTATTTATAATACACATTGAAATATCAATGAAAATAAATGATCCAATCACTTGAGTAACTCAATGGTCAAGTAAGACCATAGTCAAGTAAGGCCAATCACTTGGATCGAGTAGGGTAAACCTAGGGGCATAAATGGATCGAATTCGAACTGGATTAGGCAATATCTGAATTCGAATCCGATTAGAAAAGTTGATATCCGAATTCGATTCGATATCCGAGGGATATTAAAAATTAATATCTGAATTCGAATCCGATTAAATATTCGATTTGATTCGATTCGAATTCGATCAGTTAATTATTTTAGATAATTAACAAATATATAAAATAAATATTTTATTGATATAAAGCATATAAATATATAAATTATTTATATAATTTAATTATTATATATAAAACATTTTATATAAGAATTAAATAATCGGTTGAATTCGGACATTTATTGAATCAAATCAGGTCATATCCGAATTCAACCGATTAGATATTTGAATTATCCGAATTTGATTCGATTATGTCAAATGTCGAATTCGAAATCGAATTTTCGAATACTGTTGACACCCCTACGTTAACCACCTCCTCCTCCTTTTTCTTCTTCATTCCTTCCTTCCTTTCTTCTTTCATTTGTTTTCTTTCCTTTTCTTTCTTCTTTCTCTTGTCTTTCCTTTCCTTGCTGACAGCTACTTTTCTCTATTTATATTTCTTCCTAATCTATGACCTAATATACTAATTGAATGGTYAAGATGCAATAAACAACTAAAATATACTTGACCATTTTGACTCACTCGACCCGGACAGTCGAACCGCTGACCCGGATACCAGTGGCCAAAGCAATTCAATTTTGGAATCGATTTTTAAAGCCTTGCTTTTGAGGTTCTAAGTTATGAACAAACAAACAGATCCTGTATTTGGAATTTTCACATTAAAATAGACGGCTATGATAGTTTGTCAAATCATGCTCAAATGCCCTCTTTTTGCTACAGGCTTCAGAGTTTTCTTTCTGTGGGATTTCATTGATTGATCAATATTTTAGAAGGGGGAGTCCACGATGCCAGGAAGACGTGATACCAGAATGGAATGGTGGAAGGATTGGAATCTTACGTCCGTTTGCTTTCTACATGTCCTATACCTCACTCTATCCATAATTTAATCTATTTTGGATGCAAATGCTAAGTTAACAAGAGAAGAATCACTCTTGGCACAATACAACCGGAATCTTCAAGTGTTCTCCTTGTTGGAAGCAACTAAATCCAGCAATTGTTTCTCCTTGATCTATAGGATCGACAAATTTCATTATATTTTATGTGGCACAATCTAAAGGTTGAAGAGCTTTCAGGAAAACAAAAAAAAAAAAAAAAAAACAAAGAAAAAACAAAAAAACAAAACGATAGTTGGTAGTTGGGGTATACCCTATATAGATATATCATGTTGATGAATAGAATATATGCATATTTATTTTGTACTGTTCAGTTTACCCCAAGAATCTTAGCTCTATGGTACATTGGGGTAGGTGTCAATTCAAAATTGATGCCAATCACGGGTGAATATGGGTATTATTGGTGAAGGTGTTTATAATTTTGAATTGTTCTAAGTCTGCAGTTGAATTCAAAATTCTGAGATGGAGTGCAGTCAATTTGTCTCTATTTTGTAATGACCTTAACTGGCTGGAAAGTAAATGAAATTTCAAGAATTTTTTTTTTTTATTTCAAGATGCAAATAGCAATCTTGGGTATTCGGCTGGCTGTTATCTTCATGGTTTTTTAAACCGACCCAGAGACCGAACCAGTAAGGGGTCCGGTTACCGGGTCAAACGGTCTAACCGTTCGAACCAAACACTCGGACCATTCTGACAAAAAAAATAAAAAACGGTCAAAACCGTTCGAACGATTAACCGCCCGATTCAGCGATTCGTTGACCAAAATCAACGGTTTTGGGAGAAAATCCAGTTTTTGGGGAAAACGGAACTGGTCACCTGACCGGTTCCCAGTTTTTCCGGTCCGATTTTGAAAACCATGGTTATCTTAATTGATGCAAAACTTATTTGGATAGAAGTTAGGCTCCGTTGGAAAGGAGTATAAATAAAAATATATACAATGTAAATACATACAAAATAATACAAAATATAAGGTTTTACACTCTACATATTTGCATTTGTACTCTTTCCAAATTGAGCCTTAAGAATGGCTAGTTTACTACTGCAAGTGGTTATAGATCTCTAAGGAGGTTAGAAGCACAACCATCCACAATCTGGCCTGCTCTCGGGGACATTTCTTGAAAGGTGTCCTGGCGAATCAAGCACATCCCTTAGAATCCATCTCTTTCTCTCGAGGTGTATTCACATTATGATCCTGGTGCGAGTTGAATTAGAGAAGAGGTCAGTCAAAATTCCAGGCGATTGCCCGCGTGGTGTGGAGAGCCGAAGGAAACAACATGGTTTTCAAAACTGGACCGGATTAGACGGTCAGACTAGAAAAATCGGTCACTTAACCAGTTCTGTTTTATCTTAGAACCGTCTTTTGGCCAAAAGCCATTGATTTGGTCAATAAAAGTTGATCTAGGCGGTTGAACCGTTTGAACCATCTAACGGTTTTTTGTCATTTTTATTTTTTTTTCAGAACAAGCTGTCCATTCGATTTGAATGGTCGGACCGTTCAACCTGGGAACCAGACCTTGAATGATTTATTGTCTGATTCAGTTTTAAAAACCTTGGGAAACAATTGATCAAATTCTCATCAACTGTAATGTAATTAGGGAAATCTGGTTTGGAAGTTCTATGGGAATTTGCATTAACAATCAACCCCCTAGATCACTTGGTTGGGAGAATGGGAAAACCTCGATGACTTGTTTAATGAACTCAACGTTTCATTGTTTGTCAGGTGTTGCATTATTCTTTGGCATATTTGGAAGACCCATTGCAAATTATTCTTGATAGAATAACGGTTCAGCCCATGGTCAGAATTTTTAGGCTCAAAGTAGAGTTGCGGTGGTTGCCAGTTCGGAATTGATGCCAATTTACAGGAGGGCATTAGACCTGTTCATGGGCCGGGCCGGGCCGGGCTTTCACTTGTCACTAATGAAAATATACTTGGCCCGACCAACGGGCCTATAACTTGGGCCCGAGCCCGGCCCTGGTAAAAAKCCCAAAACCCGAGCCCGAGCCCAAAGCCTGACCTAATTGAAAAAAAGAAAACAATTTTCCCTATTCAAATTAGAATTAAAAATTCAGATAGTATTTTTTTTTCTATTTAAATGAGCAATGGGCCTACAAGATGGTATTTTTCCCTTTCTTTTATATTTTACAACACAATTTTACATTCTTAAATCAAAAAATTTATTCAAATGGACATAATCACATAACTTTAAGTTTAATATTAGGTCGGGTCGGGCTGGGCTATTTTGATAAAACCCGAGCCCGGCTCGAATTTATTGTGGGCTGGGCTTTTTGGCTCGAATTTAAGCCTGCGGGCCTATAAGCATGTTCAAGCCCGTTTGGGGGTCAGGCCGGGCCGGGCCGGCCTGTCGGGCCACCCGGCCCATGAACAGGTCTAGCGGGCATTGATGTATAGAATAGGGGTTTTTGACATTTTAAATATTTATAGCTCTGCAGTGAAATTCAGAAATCTGCATTGGGCCTGTCTGAAAATATTGCAGTGAATATCTACACTATACTAAGTAAAGCCCATGCCCAAATTAATGAATTGGAGCAGCATGCCCACAATCTGTGTTTGGATTCTCTTAACATAGCCCAAGTGCATGTCTTTCATTCCTCACTACAACCAATGATCTAGACTGCCAGTTAATTGGTTAAAAGAAAACTTCGATGGAGCGACGAGCAYTTCAGGTTCTGCGTTTGGATTGTTATTAGAGATCATCAAGGCTCCATTTGAAAGGAGTACAAATACAAATAATACAAATATGTAGAGTGCAAAACCTTATATTTTATATTATTTTGTATGTATTTGTACTATACATATTTGTATTTGCATTCCTTCTAAACTGAGCCCAAGGAGATTTCGTTTATGCAAGGATGTCACATAAACCTACCCAATCAGCTTTGGAAGCTGAAGCTCGGGTCTTTTGGATTTCGTGGTACTGGTACAACTTGATATGGATTTTGTGCTCTTTAAAGGGAATACTCTTGGGGGGGCATTCTTTTTTTTGGATTTTAAGAGGGGGACTAGGTAATGTGGGGACTAGGTAAAGTTTATTAATGTGGGGAATTCCCATTGACCACTAGGTAATGTGAGCACTAGGTAAAGTGCTCTTTGAAGGGAATTCCCATTGACCAAGAATACCATGTTCTTTTTTCATATTAATGTGGAGACTAGGTAAAGTTTATTTTCCTGGGTATCACTTACCCATCTCTTAGGTGGATAAATAACTTTCCCACCAAGGGGGGGAAAATTTCAACACTTAAATGGGACAAAAATGCCCCATTTAATAATGGATTTTATGGCTAAAATGGTCATTTTCTATTTTACTTGGAAAATAAAAAAACATGGGTAAACACACTTACCTAGGTAAGTGTTTCCCAAGAAAAACTTACCCAGGTA